GGCCTCCTCCAACCCCTACAGCCTCACCCAAACCTCCGGTGTAATATCAAAGCCTGAACATAAACTCGAGCCTCCTGGCTATAACTCAAACATAAGGCATTGGGCCATACCAACATAAGCCTCCTGGATGTAACTCAATATCATTGCTCCAGCCTCTGGAGCTCTCGCGAGCTATACTTGCTGTTAAGCTTTTCCTCCCATCTTAACTGCAGGAGCTCCTGCTCCTGCTCCTGCTCCTGCTCCTGCTCCTGCTCCTGCTCCTGCCCCTGCCCCTGCCCCTGCCCCTCTGGCTGCTGGCAGGGAACTGCCAGCCTGGCCTCAGCCCTGGGCTTTATAAGGGCCAGGCCCTGCCTCCTACAGGCAGCTGGCTCTCCTTAGTTGCCCTGGCAACCCGCAGCTGTGCTCATTATGTTCTGCCAGGGCTCTCTCTCCCTGGCAGTTTCTACTCTCTAGGAGCAGGCACCGAGATACCCTGTGACAGCTACATTCAACAGACTCTTGCCACACATGTTTACTGTCTCCATGCTTGTTAAGTCAGGGACCGAGATAAGGAAGAAGTCCTTTGCCTGAAGATACAGTAATAGCCTGGGTAGTTCCTCAAACCAGCCATTAGAGGGAGACATGATCATATGTACAGGACCAGTGTATTACATGCACAACACAAGTGACTGTTACAAACTTTCTCCAGTCCTTTGGCTTTGACCACTTCCCATCCTTTAGTATTGACTATGATGGAAGAGTTGTGGAGGTACTTACAAGGGGAGAAAATAAAGAGAGAACAATGCTGATATCTCCTTTATTCACTAAGGGGGCATGTGTAGGACAGTAGGATTCCTATAGACTGGACTTTAAACTTGTTTTCCTAATACTTGGGACACATAACCCCTCATGTTGGTTTGGGTCACTAGGTGCTGTGAAGAATATGAAAAATGTTTAGTATTTTTATGAACAAGTATGTACTACAGTTTCCCCACTTGATTTCTTTTATATGTATCCCAAAATCCCTACAGTATAAAATTCCAATCAAAACTATGTATCACAATAGAGCACAACTTCTTAACCCAGTTACTGCATTCTCCCCCTCAGTGAACTGTCACTTAAATTTAGAATTGTGTATATATACATTCATCTATCTATAAGCCACATATATCCCTGTTACTTTCCCTTTCTTGAGCCTTGCCATTAGTATTCCATAATACCATCCTCCTTTCCCCCCCCAAAACATGCAGTCTTCATATTCTTCCACCAATTTTTTTTCTTATCAATATTAATAGCCATTGGTTAAAAGATTTTTTGCACATTTCCTTGATTTAATAGGTCACTTTTTAGGGATGTTATTGCCTCTTCCACTTCTTTGACATTCATAGGTTCTATCAACCCCTGACTCTCATCTCCAGTAATCTTTGGCCAGTTTAATGATGACAGCAATGTATAAACCCAATCTTTATCTTCTTCCATCCTTTCTTCTCCATCTATTCCTTGTAACTTTTCCTCCCAATTGCTTGAAAACAGATCTCAGTAGTAGTAGTATAGGACTATCCACAGTAAATCATCAGAGTTTGTTTTTAAAACTTTCCTTCCATTTTGAAAGCCATTCATGTCTCTCAATTTTCCTTTCCTTCCATCCTATACAAAACTGCCACCATATTTATCCTCTTTCCCATATTCTGCGGCTACCCGCCAACTTTTCTCCAATGTAAACATTTTAATTTACATCACCATCTTTTTCTCTCCAGCAAGTGCTCCATAATTAACTGCTGCCTCTCATTTCTCTCTGTGCAAGTCCATTGAGTATTTTATAATACATCCGATCTCTTCTTCCATTCATACATTGCTCCCATTTATTCTCAAATGCTTACTAGCTTACACTTGCAACCACTTATGCAACTGGCTGTATTGCCTCTTCCTCATCTCTGTTGCTTTGATCAAGGTAAAAAAAAAAGCCTTAATATCCTGTTTCCTTTTCTTCTACTTGTG